CGGTACGAGATTGCAGCTCCAGAGGTTTCTGGGGTTTGCGAATTTCTATCGTAGATTTATCCGTGATTACAGCCGTGTGGCCGCTCCACTAACTGCTCTGACTTCTAGCACCAGAACCTTCTGTTGGAATCCTGAGGCAGACCGAGCATTTCTGGACTTGAAGAACCGATTCATCAATGCCCCGATTCTCTCTCAACCTGACACTTCCCGTCAGTTTGTCGTAGAAGTGGACGCGTCTGATGTGGTGGTTGGCACCATCCTGTCCCAGCGTAGCTCCACTGACGGTAAACTCCATCCCTGCGCCTTCTACTCTCGTCGGCTTTCGCCTGCGGAGAGAAACTACGATGTGGGTAACCGGGAGCTTCTCGCGGTGAAACTTGCCTTGGAGGAACCGTTTGTCTGGACTGACCACAAGAATCTTGCTTACGTGCAATCGGCTAGACGTCTCAACTCCCATCAGGCCAGGTGGGCCTTGTTTTTTGGACGCTTTAATTTTTCCCTGACGTTCAGACCTGGTTCCAAGAACGGCAAGACGGACGCCTTGTCCCGGATGTTCTCCAAGACGGAGGAGAGTGGGGCCAAGACTGAGACGATTCTTCCCCAGAACTTCGTCGTGGGAGCAGTTACTTGGAGGATTGAGGAGGAGGTTATGGCGGCCCTTCGGACGCAGCCCGGTCCCGGTAACAGTCCTCCCGGTCGGTTGTTTGTGCCAGAGTCTGTCCGTTCTGCTGTCCTCCAATGGTCCCACGCCAGCAAGATGGCTTGTCACCCTGGCGTGGCTCGGACTATGGCGTTACTGTGCAGACGATTTTGGTGGCCTGCCATGGGAGAAGATACCCGGAGGTTTTTTGCTGCCTGTCCAGTTTGTGCGCAGAGTAAGAGTACCAATCGGCCCAGCTCTGGGCTTCTTCATCCCCTACCTATTCCCCGGCGACCATGGTCGCATCTGGCCCTGGACTTTGTCACTGGGTTGCCCTCTTCTGATGGGAACAGTCATTCTGACTATTGTGGACAGATTCAGCAAGTTCGCCCACTTTGTTCCCATCTCCAAGCTTCCCTCTGCCACTGAGACGTCCGAGATCCTTGTTAGGGAGGTTTTCAGGGTCCACGGGTTGCCCAGTAACATAGTTTCCGACCGTGGTCCTCAGTTTACCTCTGCTGTCTGGAAGTCCTTCTGTTTGGCCATTGGAGCTACAGTCAGTCTCACATCTGGATTTCACCCCCAATCTAATGGTCAGGTCGGAGAGAGTCAACCAGAAGATGGAGTCCACGCTGCGCTGCCTTGTCTCCTCCAACCCCACCTCTTGGGTCTCTCAGTTGCCCTGGGTCGAGTATGCCCACAATACTCTCCCTACATCTGCCACTGGGATGTCTCCCTTCCAGTGCCTGTACGGCTACCAACCTCCCTTGTTTCCTTCTCAGGAGAAGGATCTCTCGGTTCCCTCTGTCCCACATTCATCGTTGCCACCGGACTTGGCATCGGGCCAGAAAGGCCCTCCTTAGAGTTTCTGACCAGTATCAGCTCCAGGCGAATCGTCGCCGTATTCCAGCCCCCGCTTATGCCATCGGAGATAAGGTCTGGTTGGCTACACGGGATCTTCCTCTGCGGACTGAGTCGAAGAAACTGTCACCGAAGTTCATTGGTCCGTTTGTGGTGGAGAGAGTGATTAATCCTGTTGTGGTTCGACTCAAATTGCCTAGGACGCTCAGAGTCCATCCCACCTTTCATGTCTCCTGCCTCAAGCCTGTTCTCCTCAGCCCTCTGCTGCCCCCTCCGCCTCCTCCTCCTCGGATGATCGGAGGTGGTCCTGTCTACACGGTGCACCGCATCATGGATTCCAGACGGCGGGGTCAGGGTTTCCAGTATCTCGTGCACTGGGAGGGGTATGGTCCTGAGGAGAGGAGTTGGATTCCTCGGCGTCAGATCCTTGATGCTGACCTCCTGCGTGACTTCTACCGCCTCCATCCTGGCGCTCCGGGTAGTCCGCCCGGTGGCGTTCGTCGGAGGGGGGGTACTGTCATGAATCCCGCTTCCTGAGTCTGTTTCTGCCTGAGTTGCCTGTTTTCTGTCTTGGAGTCTGGTTCCTGAACGCACCCTGTCTGGTTGCCGGGCGACGAAGCTAGGCGGGAGATCTCTCGATTACCCGCACCTGCATCTCATCAGCTATCTGCAAACCTGGTCCTGATCATCACCTCTTCACTTCATAAGCTCTGACCTGACAACCATTCCCTGCCGGATCGTTAGCCATGAACAGTATGTTGTGTCAGCGTATCAGCCTCAAGTTTTCTAGAGTTAGTTTTGTTGTTTTGTACTTTTTGCTTTTACTCTGTCTACAGTTATTCTCCCGGAACATTCACTCCACCCCTGCCTGGTCGTCGGTGGGTTCTGTAACATCATTGGATCTGCCTATTCACTTCCACCAACTCACCTCTGCTGCCCGCTCCGTCTCCTGAATTATCCTGCTTCCACATTTGAGTCGTTAAATAAATACTCCCCTTCTGTCTACTCACCTTGTCCTGGTCTGCTTCTGGGTTCTGCTTTAGAGAATCGTGACACTACTATTGTAGCAACAATGCTACTGCTATGTATATCACTATCAGAGTGCAGACTTGAGGTATCATCTAACAATGATTTTCATACTAATGCAATCGTTAATACTTATTTCCTCAACGTTTGTGAACCTTGTAAAAAGCAATCAGTGATAGTCCATTACCCACTCCCTCTCATGGTATACAGACTTACTGGTACTTCTACCAAAAAGCTGCTCAAGGCTATTTCCACCCACTGCTGTGTGTGTGTGTGTCCTTGAGGGTGTTGCATGGGCTGGTGTCCTTGAGTACAACCAGCTGATAATGCTCATGCATGTGACTGTTAAAGAAAGCACATTTGTACACGGAGGATGGACAATTTCTGTCCTCAAGGGTTTTGTCCTTGTGTTATTTTTTTTTACATTTTACATTTTTAGTCATTTAGCAGACACTCTTATCCAGAGCGACTTACAGTTAGTGAGTGCATACATTTTCATACTGTATGTATTCTTGTTTTAAATGGCCTAAATAATATTTATTTGAATATGTTTTGATGCTGTGTGTGTGTGTGTACTTCCGCACTTGTGAATTACCATTCTCACCATCTGGGAATGGAAGCATGGCTCCCCAGTTTCCATCAGCAGCTGCCACTGTTAAGGCATTACACAAGCAGGGAAGTGGGAGGCAGGCAGGCAGTGGTAATGTGGGGGAAGCTGCTATAGCTGCCTAACAAACTCACACCTCCTCAATCTATAATCAGGAACAGGCTCTAGGCATCTGCTCTGGAACGAGATTTCGCTTTAGTCGAGAGACACTTAGTCAAACGGTGTTTTGCGGATATTACATAATGTGTCTGCAAGAATCACAGTTTAGTGTTGAAATACAAGGCTGTTTGTGCAAATATGCAGCGTTTAATTGCTGAACTTTTACTTGTTTTCTGTTTTATTATATGAATATATAAGATAGAAAAATCGTTGCTGTTTATTTGGATGATTCTTTGTAAAACACCAAGAGAAATAGTAACATTTGTTGCATGGCAATAACGTTTTCTGATTCTGAGGTCAGTCAGTGTAACGCTAAACATATGATAAAGGAGGATACTCAATTCAGTATGTGTAGCCCATCAATCATAAAGATTTAATATTTTGAAATTGCAGTGCATTAAAATTGCAATACACGACAAACTTTTGAGGAGATTCCTTAATCGTTAGTGAATCTTGGCGGTAATGACAAAATGACACCGAGTCGCCTAGGTGATTTATCTTCACAACCTCCACTTGCGTAAAAGCGCAATTATTGTACCGCGATCCAAGTGCTCATTACGCATAAGGACACTTTAGGGAAATAAACTAAACACCTGTAGGCGATTAGATTTCCAACTTTGCAATGAATATGCAAATTAAATCATTCACAAATGTTCAAATTTAAGATCAAATGGCACACCTGTGAGAGTGTCAAGAGTCATTCATATAATTTAGGAAAATTACGCACAGTTTCGATCCATTTTGCCCCAAATTATTTAAGGCCTTTCTTGTGTTAATTACGAAAATAGGTTAGCTAGAACTTGTCTTCAAGGTCATGGCGCATATAAAGTAGACTAGATACAGTATGGGGGGGAAAACATATGCTGCAAAGGTACAGACACTTGCGTGCTCATAAGAATTGCCATGCACGGTGGGGAATCCTGCGAAAGTCTAGAAGCACGGCAATTGGTCGGCTATATACAGTATTGCTCTATATTCTGGCGGGAAATCTGGTGTGAAGGTGAAGAGAGGCATCTGGCGCGTGGGAGGCCCCGATTTATAACGTCTGATCACGACCCGGTTCTTAGAAAAACGGGTGCTTGACTGCCTGTAAAACCTTAATGAAGCTCCAACTCAATAGTCAAGTTCAACTTTTGACATGGGAACGTAGCCAAGTCAAACGGAGGATAGCGCAACCTTCTCCGAATATAAATATCACTGATGGGGCTTCTGGAAAAGAAATACCAATGCAAAGGAGATTTCAAGCCAAGGACTTGTGAGATATGTTGATAGATGTGGCAAACAACTGTTGAGGGGGAGCGGAGTATGAGGATTTATTTTCCTAACGTGGACTACTGTCATTTTGGTCTCGTTTGCTTGCATCATAGGCATATGTTGCAGTGCGCAAGAGGAGAGAGAAAGGTTAATTCGGGGTGCAATTGATGCCTAAGTGCCACTATAGGAACCACCTGTAACTTTTACAGAATGGATACCTGTCGTTTTTATCGATGTGAAACAAACGTTTTAGATAAGCGTGATAACTTTTTAGGGGGGTAACAATAAATTGGTATTTAGCCTAAAATATTAAATATTTCTAATATTAAATGTTTGAATCATTTATTATAGTCAATCTAGGGAAAACAATTCTAGCTCATTGAAAGAGAGCTACTAAGTTTATTTTATATAAAAAATTTCCCTCCCTGGGTTGAAGAAATCTCGTTGGCTCATATGGGACTGAGGCACTCGCGTTGCCTGCTCCTTCGGAGAAAAATGGCGGAGCCGGACAATTCTGAGGTATGTCAGTTCGCTGTTAAATGATCCAAGGAGTGACATATGCTGGTCAAAATATTTCGTTATATTGATATAATCGATAATAATAAATTAATGATGGTTCTGTTGAGTTATTTTGTATTGTCTTTGTCAGTTTTGAAGTAATCAAGATTGTATCGACTACTGGTGTCTGTAAAAAGCAATGCAGACACATACTACGTTTAGTTGTTTTTGTAAATTGATATGGCATATGTCCCGTTAAAATATTACAGTTGCAAAGATATGCGATGTATAAATGATCTGTAGTGGTTAGTGGGTGCGCTGTCCTTGGTGCTGATTCCACTATCCGTTCAGCACAATCTGTAGCATGGACTCCTGCTGATCTGAAAACGGGTAGATGCGTAACATGATGTAATCTAGCCTACCAAGTGACCTCCAATGCATTCTAAGTAATTCACTGTATTTGTAAATAGCACATTTTGCCATTTAATGCTATAACAAATTGTTTTGCATCAAGGTGCACTGTATTGAAAGCGATTTCTTACAGCAAACAGATCCAGTTCTGTTGCTCTTCTCTGACAATGTTAAAATGTCCTACTCTCTTCAAATACACCTTCACTCAATTTTGTCTGTCCCTAATTCTCTCTCTCTCTCTCTCTCTCTCTCTCTCTCTCTCTCTCTCTCTCTCTCTCTCTCTCTCTCTCTCTCTCTCCCATCCCTTCCCACATTGTCTATCTTTATTTCTGTCTGTCTTTATTTGCTCTATCCCTACCTTTCTCTCTATCTTCATATTCCCTATTTCTCTCTGCCTCACCCCCTCCTCTCTCTTAGCAGCAGCGTACCATCACTGCCCCCCAGTCCCAGTCCTTTCAACCCGCCTCCTTGCCCAAACCTGTGCCTACCGTCCACCATGTGCCGCACCCTCCACATACACCCCATGTAGCGGCCCTGCCCACCTGCCCCGGGCGCGGCAAGATGGCAAAGCTGCTCAACCCGGAGGAAATGACATCACAGGACTACTACTTTGACTCCTATGCCCACTTTGGCATCCATGAGGTAGGTAGGGGTCTCATCCATGAAGTAGGTAGGGGACTCACCCATGAGGTAGGTAGGTAGGGGACTCATCCATGAGGTAGGTAGGTAGGTAGGAAGGTAGGTAGGGGTCTCATCCATGAAGTAGGTAGGTAGGGGTCTCATCCATGAGGTAGGTAGGTAGGGAACTCATCCATGAGGTAGGTAGGCAGGAAGGTAGGTAGGGGACTCATCCATGAGTTAGGTAGGTAAGGGACTCATCCATGAGGTAGGTAGGTGGGGGACTCATCCATGATGAAGGCAGGTAGGGGACTCATCCATGAGGTAGGTAGGGGACTCACCAATGAGGTAGGTAGGGGACTCATCCATGAGGTAGGTAGGTAGGGGGACTCATCCATGATGTAGGCAGGTAGGGGACTCATCCATGAGGTAGGTAGGGGACTCACCCATGAGGTAGGTAGGGGACTCATCCATGAGGTAGGTAGGTAGGTAGGGGACTCATCCATGAGGTAGGTAGGGGACTCATCCATGAGGTAGGTAGGGGACTCATCCATGAGGTAGGTAGGGGACTCACCCATGAGGTAGGTAGGTAGGAAGGTAGGTAGGGGACTCATCCATGAGTTAGGTAGGTAAGGGACTCATCCATGAGGTAGGTTGGTGGGGGACTCATCCATGATGTAGGCAGGTAGGGGACTCATCCATGAGGTAGGTAGGGGACTCACCCATGAGGTAGGTAGGTAGGTAAGAGACTCATCCATGAGGTAGGCAGGTAGGGGACTCATCCATGAGGTAGGTAGGTAGGAGACTCATCCATGAGGTAGGTAGGTAGGTAGGAGACTCATCCATGAGGTAGGTAGGTAGGAGACTCATCCATGAGGTAGGCAGGTTGGGGACTCATCCATGAGGTAGGTAGGTAGGATACTCGTCCATGAGGTAGGTAGGTAGGAGACTCATCCATGAGGTAGGCAGGGGACTCACCCATGAGGTAGGTAGGTAGGGGACTCATCCATGAGGTAGGTAGGTAGGTAGGAAGGGGTCTCATCCATGAAGTAGGTAGGTAGGGGTCTCATCCATGAGGTAGGTAGGTAGGGAACTCATCCATGAGGTAGGTAGGCAGGAAGGTAGGTAGGGGACTCATCCATGAGTTAGGTAGGTAAGGGACTCATCCATGAGGTAGGTAGGTGGGGGACTCATCCATGATGAAGGCAGGTAGGGGACTCATCCATGAGGTAGGTAGGGGACTCACCAATGAGGTAGGTAGGGGACTCATCCATGAGGTAGGTAGGTAGGGGACTCATCCATGAGGTAGGTAGGGGACTCATCCATGAGGTAGGTAGGGGACTCATCCATGATGTAGGCAGGTAGGGGACTCATCCATGAGGTAGGTAGGGGACTCACCCATGAGGTAGGTAGGGGACTCATCCATGAGGTAGGTAGGTAGGTAGGGGACTCATCCATGAGGTAGGTAGGGGACTCATCCATGAGGTAGGTAGGGGACTCATCCATGAGGTAGGTAGGGGACTCACCCATGAGGTAGGTAGGTAGGAAGGTAGGTAGGGGACTCATCCATGAGTTAGGTAGGTAAGGGACTCATCCATGAGGTAGGTTGGTGGGGGACTCATCCATGATGTAGGCAGGTAGGGGACTCATCCATGAGGTAGGTAGGGGACTCACCCATGAGGTAGGTAGGTAGGTAAGAGACTCATCCATGAGGTAGGCAGGTAGGGGACTCATCCATGAGGTAGGTAGGTAGGAGACTCATCCATGAGGTAGGTAGGTAGGTAGGAGACTCATCCATGAGGTAGGTAGGTAGGAGACTCATCCATGAGGTAGGCAGGTTGGGGACTCATCCATGAGGTAGGTAGGTAGGATACTCGTCCATGAGGTAGGTAGGTAGGAGACTCATCCATGAGGTAGGCAGGTAAGAGACTCATCCATGAGGTAAGCAGGTAGGAGACTCATCCATGAGGTAGGTAGGTAGGTAGGGGACTCATCCACGAGGTAGGTAGTTAGGTAGGGGACTCATCCATGAGGTATGAAGGTAGATAGGTAGGTAGGAGACTCATCCATGAGGTAGGTAGGTAGGTAGGAGACTCATCCATGAGGTAGGTTGGTAGGTAGGTAGGAGACTCATGCATGAGGTAGGTAGTTAGGTAGGAGACTCATCCATGAGGTAGGTAGTTAGGTAGGAGACTCATCCATGAGGTAGGTAGGTAGGAGACTCATCCATGAGGTAGGTAGGTAGGTAGGTAGGAGACTCATCCATGAGGTAGTTAGGTAGGGGACTCATCCATGAGGTAGGTAGGTATGTAGGAGACTCATCCATGAGGTAGGTAGGTAGGAGACTCATCCATGAGGTAGGTAGTTAGGTAGGAGACTCATCCATGAGGTAGGTAGGTAGGTAGGTAGGAGACTCATCCATGAGGTAGGTAGTTAGGTAGGAGACTCATCCATAAGGTAGGTAGGTAGGTAGGTAGGTAGGAGACTCATCCATGAGGTAGGTAATTAGGTAGGGGACTCATCCATGAGGTAGGTAGGTAGGTAGGAGACTCATCCATGAGGTAGGTAGGGGACTCATCCATGAGGTAGGTAGGTAGGAGACTCATCCATGAGGTAGGTAGTTAGGTAGGAGACTCATCCATGAGGTAGGCATGTAGGGGACTCATCCATGAGGTAGGTAGGTAGGTAGGTAGGTAGGTAGGATACTCATCCATGAGGTAGGTAGGTAGGAAACCCATCCATGAGGTAGGTAGTTAGGTAGGAGACTCATCCATGAGGTAGGTAGGTAGGTAGGTAGGAGACTCATCCATGAGGTAGGTAGTTAGGTGGGGGACTCATCCATGAGGTAGGTAGGTAGGTAGGAGACTCATCCATGAGGTAGGTAGGTAGGGGACTCATCCATGAGGCAGGTAGGTAGGAGACTCATCCATGAGGCAGGTAGTTAGGTAGGAGACTCATCCATGAGGTAGGTAGTTAGGTAGGAGACTCATCCATGAGGTAGGCATGTAGGGGACTCATCCATGAGGTAGGTAGGTAGGTAGGTAGGTAGGTAGGTAGGTAGGTAGGATACTCATCCATGAGGTTTGTAGGTAGGAGACTCATCCATGAGATAGTTAAGTAGGAGACTCATCCATTAGGTAGGTAGGTAGGTAGGTAGGTAGGAGACTCATCCATGAGGTAGGTAGTTAGGTAGGAGACTCATCCATAAGGTAGGTAGTTAGGTAGGACACTCATCCATGAGGTAGGTAGTTAGGTAGGAGACTCATCCATGAGGTAGGTAGTTAGGTAGGGGACTCATCCATAAGGTAGGTAGGTAGGTAGGAGACTCATCCATGAGGTAGGTAGTTAGGTAGGAGACTCATCCATAAGGTAGGTAGTTAGGTAGGACACTCATCCATGAGGTAGGTAGTTAGGTAGGAGACTCATCCATGAGGTAGGTAGTTAGGTAGGGGACTCATCAATGAGGTAGGCAGGTAGGAGACTCATCCATGAGGTAGGTAGGTGGGAGACTCATCCATGAGGTAGATATAGTGCCCTCAGAAAGTATTCACACCCTTTTCCACATTTTGTTGTGTTACAAAGTGGGATTAAATTGATTTAATTGTTGTTGTTTTTTGTCAACAATCCACACAAAATCATCTGTAATGTGAAGGTGGAAGAAAAATGCATTTGTACAAAAATTTATGAAAAATAAAACACTAATATATCTTGATTAGATAAGTATTCAACCCCCTGAGTCAATACATGTTAGAATCACCTTTCGCAGCGATTACAGCTGTGAGTCTTTCTGGGTAAGACTCGAAGAGCTTTGCACACCTGGATTGTACAATATTTGCACATTATTCTTTAAAAAATTATTCAAGCTCTGTCAAGTTGGTTATTGATCATTGCTAGACAGCCATTTTCAAGTCTTGCCATAGATTTTCAAGCCGATTTAAGTCAAAACTGTAACTAGGCAACTCAGGAACATTCAATGTCGTCTTGGTAAGCAGCTCCAGTGTATATTTGGCCTTGTGTTTTAGGTTATTGTCCTGCTGAAAGGTGAATTTGTCTCCCAGTGTCTGTTGGAAAGCAGACTGAAACAGGTTTCCTTTAGGATTTAGCCTGTGCTTAGCTCTATTCCGTTTCTTTTTATCATAAAAAAAACTCCCCAGTCCTTGTCGATGACAAGCATACCCATAACATCATGCATGCTTGAAAATATGAGAAGTGGTACTTAGTGATGTGTTGTGTTGGATTTGCCCCAAACATAACGCTTTGTATTCAGGACATAAAGTTAATTTCTTTGCCACATTTTTAGACAATTTACTTTAGTGCCTTTTTGCAAACAGGATGCATATTTTGGAATATTGTAACACAACAGAATGTGGAAAAAGTCTATTGAAGTGTCAGACTCATACCCCAGATAGTGATCTATTGAAGTGTCAGACTCATACCCCAGATAGTAATCTATTGAAGTGTCAGACTCATACCCCAGATAGTGATCTATAGAAGTGTCAGACTCATACCCCAGATAGTGATCTATTGAAGTGTCAGACTCATACCCCAGATAGTGATCTATAGAAGTGTCAGACTCATACCCCAGATAGTGATCTATTGAAGTGTCAGACTCATACCCCAGATAGTGATCTATTGAAGTGTCAGACTCATACCCCAGATAGTGATCTATTGAAGTGTCAGAATCATACCCCAGATAGTGATCTATTAAAGTGTCAGACTCATACCCCAGATAGTGATCTATAGAAGTGTCAGACTCATACCCCAGATAGTGATCTATTAAAGTGTCAGACTCATACCCCAGATAGTGATCTATAGAAGTGTCAGACTCATACCCCAGATAGTGATCTATAGAAGTGTCAGACTCATACCCTACATAGTGATCTATTGAAGTGTCAGAATCATACCCCAGATAGTGATCTATTAAAGTGTCAGACTCATACCCTACATAGTGATCTATTGAAGTGTCAGACTCATACCCCAGATAGTGATCTATGGTCTAGGTAGCCTAAAACTAAAAAGAGAGAAAGGGAACAACCTAAAATGTGTTTCTGTCGAGGTCCTTATTTAGCATGTGG